GGGAAGTTATGCACATCCACAGATGTCCCATATAATCAACAGGTGCTGTGGAGTAATTGTACATTTACATTTACAACATTTAGCAGACGCTCTTAGCCAGAGCGACTTACAAATTGGTGCATTCAACTTATGATAGCCAGTGGGACAACCACTTTTTTTTTTTTTTTTTTTATGGGGGGGAGGGGGGAGGGGGTAGAATGATTACTTTATACTATTCCAGGTATTCCTTAAAGAAGTAGGGTTTCAAGTGTCTCTGGAAGGTGGTCAGTGACTCCGTAATATACTGTATAGGCTGATAGATGAACAAATACTCCACATTGTTGTTGATATTATATGTTATGTCTTGTATTATGTAATATTATGCAAGTTGTCAATCAATCAACCACTGGAGACAGATTCAGTTTGCAAATTAGCAGAGATTGGTTGAGTGTGATTGCAATGCTGAAAGAGCAGCTGAGAATGTATGTGAGGGAAAACGTTACCTAATTATCTGCTACTCTGGCTGATGTCACACATATCTTATTCTCTTTCAACAAAGGATCACAAAATCTGTAGGAACCAACTATTCAACCTTTAAAAGGAGTCTTCTTTTTTTTCTAAGGGCAAGTGATCAAATGTTTCCTCGCCAGGCCTTTCCTTGGGCTTAGCAGGGCCTGAGGAATGTGCAGGCATGTTGGTATAAGAGAGAAAGGGACTTTTCCGTGGTGTCAACCCTCATCTAGCCTGTTGGCTCACTGTCCACTGGACTGCACCAAGCTCCTGCACGTAGGCAGGGAGGAGCTGTCTGAGATGGGGCACTGGCACCGCTGCATCTACACTGGCATGGATGGAGCGGTAGCAGAGGGTTGTGAGTTCGCACCCAGGTTGGGTTGGATTTCCACTCTGTTACAGAGGGATGGGTTTGTGTGTTTTCAGTATGTGGTGCTCGTATGGGTTGGTATGTATCCAGTATGGGGTGCTCATGGGATGCTGAGTTGATCTTCTCCATCTAAAGGTTATCCTTTGTATGTAATAGCATAATATCCCCAGGGCACGACGAAGCCTTCTATTTGTGTATCATGGACTGATTGCATGTCAGTATGACCATCACAAGAAAAACCTGGGTAATCCTGAATGAAATCCATAGGCTGAGACCAAGGAAAGACCCTAGCTTGCTGAATATAAGATGTAATCTAACATACAGTGAATTCAGAAAGTATTCAGACCCCTTGACTTTTTCCACATTTTGTTACATTACAGCCTTATTCTAAAATGGATTAAATAAAAACATTTCCTCATCAATCTACACACAATACCCCATAATGACAGAGTGAAAACCGGTGTTTAGAAATGTTTGCAAAAGTTAAAAATAAAAAACAGAAATACTTTTAATTATTCAGACCCTTTGCTATGAGACTCGAAATTGAGCTCAGCATCCTGTTTTCATTGATCATCCTTGAGATGTTTCTACAACTTGATTGCAGTCCCTGCAATCACGTTTTCAATTTATTCAATTGATTGGACATGATTTGGAAAGGCACACATCTGTCTATATAAGGTCCCACAGTTGACAGTGCATGTCAGAGCAAAAACCAAGCCATGAGGTCGAAGGAATTGTCTGTGGAGCTACGAGACAGGATTGTGTCGAGGCACAGATCTGGGGAAGGGTACCAAAAAATGTCTGCAGCATTGAAGAACACAGGGGCCTCCATCATTCTTAAATGGAAGACGTTTGGAACCACCAAGACTCTTCCTAGAGCTGGCCGCCCAGCCAAACTGAGCAATTGGAGGAGAAGGGCCTTGGTCAGGGAGGTGACCAAGAACCCGATGGTCACTCTGACAGAGCTCCAGAGTTCCTCTGTGAAGATGTGAGAACCTTCCAGAAAGACAAACATCTCTGCAGCACTCCACCAATTAGGCCTTTATGGTAGAGTAAAAGGCACATGACAGCTCGCTTGGAGTTTGCCAAAGGGCACCTAAAGGACTCTCAGACCATGAGAAACAAGATTCTCTGGTCTGATGAAACCAAGATTGAACTCTTTGGCCTGAATGCCAAGCGTCACATCTGGAGGAAACCTGGAACCATGGTGGTGGGCAGCATCATGCTGTGGGGATGTTTTTCAGCGGCAGGGAGACTAGTCAGGATTGAGGGGAAGATTAATGGCGCAAAGTACAGAGAGATCCTTGTTGAAAACCTGCTCCAGAGCACTCGGGACCTCAGACTGGGTCGAAGGTTCACGTTCAAACAGGACAACGACCCTAAGCACACAGCCAAGACAACAGAGGAGTGGCTTCGGGACAAGTGTCTGAATGTCCTTGATTGGCCCAGCCAGAGCCTGGACTTGAACCCGACCGAACATCTCTGGAGAGACTTGAAAATAGCTGTGCAGCGATGCTCCCCATCCAACCTGACAGAGCTTGAGAGGATCTGCAGAGAAGAATGGGAGAAACTCCCCAAATACACTTGTGCCAAGCTTGTAGTGTCATACCCTAGAAGACTCAAGGCTGTAATCGCTGCCAAAGTTGCTTCAACAAAGTACTGAGTAAAAGGTCTGAATACTTATGTAAATTAGATATTTCCATTTTTTATTTTTTATACATTAAGCAAAAACAGGTTGTTAGAAGTCATTATGGGTTATTGTGTGTAGACTGATGAGGGGAAACAACTATTTAATCAATTGTAGTATACGGCTGTAACGTAATAAAATGTGGAAAAAGTAAGGGGTCTGAATACTTTCCGAATGCACTGTACATGTATTTAGAAGATTGTATGTTATTCATATGCTGCTCTTGCCGACCGGTTTGTCAAAAAATCTTGAGTTGGACTCAAGTGTCTGTCGTTTGTTCTCTGTCTCATCACAACCATCAAGACTTAGAACCCTAGCAGATGGATGCCATTTGGGTGGCAACAAAACTCCACTCATGTCTCCGAGAGCAAGATGTGGTCTCTCAAGCATGGTTAAGTATGACAATTCGTTTTCATGATGAATATGACATTATTAGGAACTTTCCCCCTGACCTTATGACACAGATGTATTCTTATTGATACTATATATACTGAACCAAAATATAAACGCAACATGTAAAGTGTTGGTCCCATGTTTCATGAGCTGAAATAAAAGATCCCAGAAATGTTCCATGTGCACAAAAAGCTTATTTCTCTCAAATTTGGTGCACAAATTGGTTTACATCCCTGTTATTGAGCATTTCTCCTTTGCCAAGATAATCAATCCACCTGACAGGTGTGGCATATCAAGAAGCTGATTAAACAGCACGATCATTACACAGGTGCAACTTGTGCTGGGGAAAATAAAAAGCCACTCTAAAATGTGCAGTTTTGTCACACAACACAATGCCACAGATGTCTCAAGTTTTGAGGTAGCATGCAATTGGCATGCTGACTACATAAATGTCCACCAGAGCTGTTGTCAAAAAATGTAATGTTAATTTCTCTACCATAAGCCGCCTGCAACGTTGTTTTAGAGAATTTGACAGTCGTTTTAGAGCATTTGGCAATACGTCCAACCAGCCTCACAACCGTAGCGCACGTGTAACCACGCCAGCTCAGGACCTCCACATCCAGCTTCTTCACCTGCGGGATCGTCTGAGACCAGCCACCCGGACAGCTGATGAAACTGAGGAGTATTTCTGTCTGTAATAAAGCCCTTTTGTGGGTGGGCCTGGCTCCCAAGTGGGTGGGCCTATGCCCTCCCAAACCCATCCATGGCTGCGCCCCTGCTCAGTCATGGGAAATCTATAGATTAGGGCCTAATCAAGTTATTTAAATTGACTGATTTCCTTATATGAACTGTAACTAAATGAAATCGTTAAAATTGTTGCACGTTGCTTTTATATTTTTGTTCAGTATAGTATAGTCTTTGCTTAGGTTTAAATTAGTTTCACTCAGCATCACCTTTTCTTGACGTGTGGTCAGTAAGGGGTTGACCCCCACAAGGGAATGGGTCAGCAGACGGGTTAAATGAGGAGGATGAGAGCGAATCCACTCACATGACAGCGATTATAACCTGGGAGTTTGGTGGGCGTGGGAGAGAAAGATAGAGAGAGAAAGAGAGAGAGAATAACGGAGCACAGAACACATGAATAAACTTTTTAATTCGACGCGCAGAAGCGCAAATGTGCACGTATTATCTCACCGCCATTTACCGGGTGATTATTTGACGCTTGTGATCTACCCCTCATCAAAGGTAAATAAACTCTAAAACAATAATATTAATATTAATTCACTCCATTTAAAAGTGATAGTGGCAAACCATTTGGCAGGGAGTATTTTTGTCGTCACACTAGCCTACTTTTTATTGCTCTGATTTTAGAGCACATTGACACAATGATCTTTCGTGTATTTCAGTCTGAGTATGTGGTAAATTCATATGGTAGAGTGTGTGTGTGCATGTGTGTGTGTGTGTGCGTGCCAAGCAGGTTATTCATGCTGTGAAACATGAATTCCTATATGACTTCTTAGGATCAGCTAGGCTAGAGTATTATTGAGTTGGTTTGGACCATTGCAAGGTAACACACTCCACTGAACAAGAGACATGCTAAAGCTCCTTTGATACATTTCAAATCAAATTAGTCAATTTATGGCACAGGGCAGATAGGCTAGAACTAAAGGTTACAGAATTTGCCTGGTTTGTAACTTTGTTTCTATCAGTGCAGTCTTAGAAAAAAAGGTGCTATCTAGAACCTAAAAGGGTTATTCGGCTGTCCCCATAGGAGAATTGGAGAACCCTTTTTGGTTCCAGGTAGAACCCTTTTGGTTCAATGTAGAACGCTTTTCACAGAGAGTTCTACATGGAAGCCAAAAGGGTTCTACCTGGAACCAAAAAGGGATCTCCTATGGGGACAGCCAAATAACCTTTGTAGCAGTGATCATTGATAGAAAACCCTGGCTTTTACAGACCTTTATACAATTTTTACATTAACTTGCGTCTGATGGGCTGCGCCATCAATATCGAGCACGAAATTTGACTTTTTTTGTGTGTCTGTATCCTCTCACAGTTCAGATGGCGAGCATGTTGGGGCTCCCCCACAGCAGTTCCCTGCACAGATGCATGCTGGTCCTGACCTTCCTGCTCTTGCTGTGTGAGATCGTTGTCAGCCGCCTCTGTAACTCCCTCATCACCATGGTTGACGTCTTCCACACCCTCTTCATCCTCATGCACATGGCTCTTCCTCAACCCACCCTTGGCAGGGGCCTCCCAAAACCCCCATCTGCCTCCCCTCTCTCCACCCCCATCACCTCCACCCCTACTCAGTCACCTGTCAAATCTCCCCCATATGCCCCAGCCACCTCCTGTGTCTCCCCCAGCCCCTCCATCTCAACTCCCTGTCCCTCTCCTCCCCTCTCAACCCCTGTCCCCACCACCACTTCCCCGTTTCCCTCCAAACCTCTCACCCCTACAGCCACTCATTGTTTCTCCCCTGACCACACTGATACCAACCACCACACCTTCTATCCCCATTCCACCCTGTCTGTTCCAGCCAACCCTTTCCCCCAACCCCTCACCCCTCTGGCCTCCCTGTGTGGCCTGTCCTACAGTGGGGCAAGGGTCCAGCCCCTGGGGGCTCTGATCTCAGCTCTCCTGCTGGCTGCCCTGTGTGTCTCTGTCTCTCTGGAGATCCTCAGCCACACCCTGCAGCCCCACCCTATACAGCACCCTATTTTAGCCACAGTGATGGGGGCTGTCAGTCTGCTCTACAACCTCCTGGTGCTGGGGCTCAGCTGGGGCAACTTGCTGGAGACCAAGACTAGAGCTGCCTGGGAGGGGGAGGGGAGCTCTGTCCTTGGTGTGAATGGAAAAGGTACAGTGTGGGAGGGGATTGTGTACAAGTTCTGCATTATTATAGTAGGTTCACTAGAATATAAACAATGAACATCTGTTGTTTGTTTTTCATTCCTTCTCTCAAACACACCACAGTCAAGGCCAAGGTCCAGGCCAAAGACAGCACTGCAGTGGGGGGAGAGAATGACATCAGTAACCTCCCTACATCTCTAGATGGTGCCTTCCAAGATGGAACACTTGTATTCTGTAACCCTGGGACCTCCAGTGTCCTGAACCCTGACAGTGACTCTCAGCACCCAACCCAGACATCACCACTCCATACCATGGCCCCTCAGGGTCCCCTTTCAGACCACTGCCATGGAGCACACACACTCCCTGCAGACTCGCACACACTCCCTGCAGACTCGCACACACCACCTGCAGACTGCAGAACTTCAGAGACACCAAACAGCTTCCCACATCCAGAGGCCAGTGACTGTCATCCTAAGGACCCCCACTCTGAAGTGTCTAACTATAGTGCCTGCATGGGACACAGAGGTGAGAAATTGTATCTTCCTGTCTTTGGCCTTGGCAGTACATTTTGGTATTTGGTAAATTAGTCATTTCTATGCTTGGGGACCATGTTGCATTTTGTGGTATTATCTGTCCTAGTCTGGAATTTAACAACGAATCAAAAGGAGGACTAGGGAGTCGAGACATGGTCAAAGACTATGCGTTTTGTCCAGTTCTTTTTTGGGGTGGGCTACACCCCCTCCCCTGATTGGAGTAAACTAACAGACAACAATACTTGTACTGCTACTTACAGCTATTTTCACTCATGTATGGTACATGTAGTTAAATCATTATGCATACCTGTATATCCCTAATTTCCTCTTTCTGCAAATGCTTGATTTTCATTCACAGTGGCCAGTCCACCATTAATTCTGATTTTAACTCCAACTCACCAATGTCCACAGATTAACCCATCTTTCCCAGTATAATACCATTTTGCTATTTCCTTTTGCAATACATCTCTCCATTTTACTGTGATGTCTTACGAGGGTCTTGAACCTCCTCATTTTTAACACTTCTACCAATATTTCCCTATAAAATAAATACTTTACCCAAGACTATAATGATATTTCCCACTGACTGATCATGGTTTTTCAGATCCCTCAACAATATTTTGCAGGTCCATCTGAACCCTGATATTATGACATAACCATTCCTGCACCTGACTCCAGAAGCGATCCACCGATGGACAGTACTAGAAAATAAGCTCCATTGATTCTGTTTCCTTGTGGCTGCACCGGTTCAATGCCCTATATATTGAGCATTCTTTTCATATAATAACTTATATTGAAACGAACGGATTGATGTGTCAATTGTTGTTTTATATATCCGTTCCCCGATGCCAAGGTTTTGGGACATCAAAGACCTGTTCCGAACTTGCTGTCAAACCTTTTGACTTTAAAGACATGCTCTAGAACTTTGGCAACTACTAAGTATTTTTTTGTAGTTGGCTGGAACTGTCAATGTGTAGTTCATAAATGCATAATCTATGAGCAGAATTACTTTCTTGCCTCAATTAGGCACAAAATCCCTAGCTTGAAAGCAACGTTTTTTCTGGAAGCTGTGCTGCGCAATTTTCCCCCACCTGGGACAGCCCCCCAGCAATTAGAGTTCTACCAATGCGCTTCAGCCCATTGCCATATGAGTGACAGCTAGCAAGATGCACATGATGCACACACACACTGCAGCACGACAGAGTAATGACGTGGTGCACATATCTGCACATTTTCGGGGACCACTTTTGGCTCGTGAACACTACTTTCAGAACTGCTGGGTAAAAAGTATACAAAAGTACCGGAGAATCTCTTTAAGTGAAACTGAGGTGTTGTTCAATGTTTATACTAATCATGTTAAGCTATTTCATGGGTGGCAGACAGACTAATTATTTAATTATTTAAGTTGTGTCCAGTTCTTCCTGCCTTACCCCCTTTTTATCCTGTCTCCTCCTCAGATAATCAGACAGACCCCACCACAGCCTCAGACCTAAAGTCAGAAAGTCCCACAAGGCTCAGGGTCCAACTTCCCGCCTGTTTCCCATCCTTCATCGCCCTCACCCAGGCACTGCTGGGCTCCATTCTGGCACTCACCAACGGGCTTATCCTGCTACTCCTGGGTCCAGACTGCATGCATGGCTCTGGGGCCTGTGGCCCCTTCGTCTACCTGGACCCTGGCTTCTCCATGGTGGCTGTGGTGGTGCTGCTGGCCACCGCTCTGCCCCAGGTGTGCCGCTACGGTCGGCTGCTGCTCCAGGCCAGCCCACCCCAGGTGTGTGTGTCTGATCTGGGCCGGCGGATCGTCAGTGTGCCAGGGGTGCAGGCGGTGCATGACCTCCACGTGTGGCAGCTGACAGAGAGCTGCCTGGTGGCGTCTGTACATGTCCACTGCCACGCTGGGTTCCAGATACACAGGTTTGTATATAGTACAATACAATGCATGTTGATGTTGGGGAGATGGTGTTGGAAGGACAGTAATACAGTTACCTCAATATGCATCTATTCCTACAGGTGTGGTGATCTGATGTCGGGGGTCACCAAGGTGCTGCAGAGTGTAGGTGTGAGCTGCTGCACCGTACAACCAGAGTTCCTCCTCTCCACTCCCACTGCCAACGGCAACCTGGATAACAACAACACCACCCCCACTATCATCCATAGGGCGATACCCCCACCTCCCTCACACCTGGCCTGCAGCCTGGCCTGTGGGAAGGGCTGTGCTGGGAAGATGTGCTGTGCTCCTCTGGAGGAAGGGTCTGCAGAGCCACTGGCACCCCCTGCTGGGGAAATTGAGGAGGAGCCTCACGTGCTGATCATAGAGAACAGCTTTCTTTGAAGGAAGGACCTCTAGGATGTATCTCAGGAGTGTAGAGTGGACTCCTTGCCTCCTTTCCTTCATATGAAACTGATGTGAGATGTAGAGGACTGAAGGGGAGCAAACCACTTTGGGCAATTAAAAAGATGCAGCCTGGGGATTGAATAGAATATATTATTATTGTCAGAATATTCATAAAGACTTCTGTCCCAATGTCATTGAGGTAGTTTTAGAGAGCTAGATAGCCTAATGTAAGAATTAGGCTCAGGTAAAGAGTAGAAATCCCAGTAGTCATCATGCGTGTGTTTTGGGATGGGGTGGGATAATAAGCAGCATTCCTATGGGTACTCAGAAAGGGCCTGTATGTTGACTGTATGTACTCTAAATGTATGCATGTCCTACATCATTATGTTGGGATTGTATTTCATTTGATTAACACGGTGCCATACCAAAGATACAGCAGATTGTAAGTCAAGTCACTCAACTAATGAAGTGTTTATTCAATAATGCCATTTCAAACATATTTTATACTGCCATTATTGCGCTTTGATGACATAGTTGTATGTCTTCTTATCATTCACATTTTGTGTACATTGAATGTGTAAAGTAATTAATAGAGTTAATAGCATTAGTTATTCGCGATTAATCTACATTTTAGAATTTGCTCATATTTGGCCCTAAATAAATATTTTTCCATTTAAAAGGCAGTGCATTGAGTTACAGGCATACTATGCTTTGATTGTAAGGGACCGAAACACAACATTATCTACGTCAGAATGTTTTAATAGAATTTTCACCATAAACAACACAAAAGTCACTAACATACAGCTAGCTATTAATGCTCCCAATGTTTAAGTAGGCCTTTAAGTATGGTTAAGTACTCCCCCTTATCAATGTTCTTGAAGTTTAATACTTGTGCACAGCAGACAGACACACATACACTCTCTCTCTTTCACACACACACAACTTTAAGTACTGTTAGTTTTTTTTATCACTTTGGAAATGTAATGAGAACATTGGTTTAATCACCAAAACACAACATAATTATATATTTTCTATGTGGTCGTTTTAACTACCAGTTAATCCAATAGCAAACAATGCAAGATATGTGTTTCAAATCGCCCTTAAAAGTGCTGAAAGTAATATGCTACAGTACTGTAAATTACAGTAGATTAGACAGTTTTCACATTAGGCAATACACTTACATTACCCAACAAAATTGACAGAAAATCTATAATTTCCATAATACAGTATATATCCAATGTGTAATCAAAGGTGTGATCAATGAAGACATCCTCTACAATCATTCATGCAAAAAAAACGTTCTTTTTCAGATATAATTGCAACATAGGTGTACTATCTGTAATCAAATGTAAGAAATTAAATTCAACAAAATAAATGAATGAAAAACAAACAACGTTTAGCACACATTAATTTGCATCAAGCCTGTCTTGAGCATTTGGCCATAAATTCTCATCCACATCACAGTGAATGTCCTCATTGTTCATGCACCGTGGGGAAAAACCTTTTGTAATGCCGAATTCAAGCTTGTCTGCATTGACGTCGTCGCAAGCCTCATCCATGGCCAGAAGGACGCTCATGGGGATGGCGATCGTACACCTTCCACCTCCATGCTTAAAAACATTCCTCAATATGGTTGAGGAAAGGAGAGTATGGGGGCAGGTATAGGGTCACAAATCGGGGATGGGTCCAAACCATGTCGGAACCACCGCTGCATGGTGAAACCTAACATTGTCCCACACAATGACATAGGTGACCCTTTCACCTTGACAGGCCTGCTCAATTTCATTGAGAAACACAATGACGTGTTCAGCGTTGTAGGATCCAAGTAATAGCCTACGGCCTACCACACCATCTTCAGAGATAGCTGCGCACATGGAAATGTTTCCCCCACGTTGTCCAGGCACTTGGAGTTGCCCGTTGGCCGATGAGGTTCTGCCCACGGTGCTGAGTTTTGGCCAGGTTGAAGCACGCTACATCAACAAAGATTTACTTGTGATGGTTCACAGCAACATCAAATGCCATCACTCTCTAAAAATATATTTTGGTTACTTATTTTTACAGGTTAGTTATTTTGACAGTATACAGTACCAGTCAAAAGTTTGGACACACCTACTCATCCAAGTTTTATTTTTACTCTTTTCTACATTGTAGAATAATAGTGAAGACATCAGAACTATGAAATAACACATATGGAATCATGTAGTAACCAAAAAAAGTAACCACTACTGTAAATGTAATAGTAAAGTATAGTGCATATCCTGCAGACTTACTGGTTTTCTTGGCGAAATATTCTTATGATCGAATTGACAGTTGATCTTTTCAGATTGGGGTGAACTAATCTGGAAGCCTCTGCCATGGTAAGGCCTGTACCACATGGTCAACGACAATGGCCCGGACTTCATTAGACACAACAGTTGCCTGCCGTCTGCCTCCCTCTCTCTGATGTCCACCTCTTTGACAGGGCCCATGCCCACCTCTTTGACCTCTTTGATGGGCCCCTTGTCCACAAGCTCTTTGATTTCTTCCTCTCCCTTGTGGTCTATCCTGCTCCATGTTGAAATCAATTAGCAATAATGAGTAGTCATTATGTAGTCAAATGTAATTTAGATGTTTATACTTTACAAACACACATTTTATTTCTGTAGATCTCAAAATCCATATATAGTAGACAAACCAGTTTAAAATCTATAGGTTTCCAAATGGTTAAGTGATTAACCATTAAGCGCAGTTGGATTAAGTGATGGTTAAATGTATTTAAACAAATGAGAAGAAAATCATATGAAAAGTCTTGTGAGCATTGCATTGTGAAAGGCAATTACTTTATATGAAAGGTATTTCTAGATGAAACACTGATTAGGTTTGGTGAAAAAGTCACTGTGTGATTTTGTGCGTTTAAAGTTTTGAAAAAACAGCCTTTTTGATGATCTGTTTTGAGTTTTGTTTTGGGGAAATGTTATCACATACTTGAGAAAATAGTAACAAAGCGATAAAAAAATGGTAAAGCTTCAGGCATTCTAAACGAGTATAGGAAATGGCTATAGGAAAAAATAACTGGCTCTATGGATACAAAGAACAGAGCTTCTAAACTTGTTCAACAATGTTATGAAAACACTGTAACTATCTATTCAGATAACCAGTGGTGTGTATTCATGGATGCCAAGGGAAGCCAGGCTTTGACCAAGAAAAAAGTGGGTTCGATCCCCGGGACCACCCATACGTAAAAATGTATGCACGCATGACTGTAAGTCACTTTGGATAAAAGCGTCTGCTAAATGGCATATTATTATGTTTTAGTGGAACAGCCATCTGCAGCACAGGCAAAACCCCCCGCAGCACCCACTGTAAAAACTATTGGTCGCTAAATCCGGATAAATTACGGAACATGTAACAAACTGTTGGTCACTAAATCCAGCTAGAAGGACCACGTAAAAATGGTTCGCTGGAATGCCCTCACCTTACTGAGCGGTCAGCTGTGAATGCCCTCACCCGCTATATACAGTGCATTCGGAAAGTATTCAGACCACATTTTGTTATGTTACAGCCTTATTCTAAAATTGATTAAATAGTTTTTTCGCCTCATCAACCTACACACAATACCCCATAATGACAAAGCAAAAACAGGTTGTGTATTAAAAATAAAAAACTGAAATATCACATTCAGACCCTTTACTCAGTACTTTGTTGAAGCACCTTTGGCAATGATTACAGCCTCGAGTCTTCTTGGGTATGAAGCTACAAGCTTGGCACACCTGTATTTGGGGAGTTTCTCCCATTCTTCTCTGCAGATCCTCTCAAGCTCTGTCAAGTTGGATGGGGAGCGCTGCTGCACAGCTATTTTCAGGTCTCTCCAGAGATGTTCGATCGGGTTCAAGTCTGGGCTCTGGTTGGGCCACTCAAGAACATTCAGAGACTTGTCCCGATGCCACTCCTGCGTTGTATTGGCTGTGTGCTTAGGGTCGTTGTCCTGTTGGAAGTTGAACCTTCTCCCCAGTCTGAGGTCCTGAGAGCTCTGGAGCAGGTTTTCATCAAGAATCTCTCTGTACTTTGCTCCGTTCATCTTTGCCCCTATCCAGACTAGTCTCCAAGTCCCTGCCACTGAAAAACATCCCCAAAGCATGATGCTGTCACCACCATGCTTCACCGTAGGGATGGTGCCAGGTTTCCTCCAGACGTGACCCTTGGCATTCAGGCCAAAGAGTTCAATATTGGTTTCATCAGACCAGAGAATCTTGTTTCTCAAGGTCTGAGAGTCTTTAGGTGCCTTTTGGCAAAGTCCAAAGGGGCTGTCATGTGCCTTTTACTGAGGAGTGGCTTCCATCTGGCCACTCTACCATAAAGGCCTGATTGGTGGAGTACTGCAGAGATGGTTGTCCTTCTGGAAGGTTCTCCCATCTCCACAGAGGAACTCTAGAGCTCTGTCAGAGTGACCATCGGGTTCTTGGTCACCTCCCTGACCAAGGCCCTTCTCCCCCGATTGCTCAGTTTGGCCGGGCGGCCAGCTCTAGGAGGAGTCTTGGTGGTTCCAAACTTCTTCCATTTAAGAATGATGGAGGCCACTGTGTTCTTGGGGACCTTCAATGCTGCAAAGTTTTTTTGGTACCGTTCCCCAGATCTGTGCCATTGACACAATCCTGTCTCGGAGCTCTACGGACAAGTCCTTCGACCTCATGGCTTGGTTTTTGCTCTGACTTGCACTGTCAACTGTGGGACCTTATATAGACAGGTGTACGCCTTTCCAAATCATGTCCAATCAATTGAATTTATAACAGGTGGACTCCAATCAAGTTGTAGAAACATCTAAAGGATACTTAATGGAAACAGGATGCACCTGAGCTCAATTTCGAGTCTCATAGCAAAGGGTCTGAATACTTACGTAAATAAGGTATTTCTGTTTTTTATTTTTAATACATTTGCTTTCTAAAAACCTGTTTTTGCGTTGTCATTATGGGGTATTGTGTTTAGATTGCTGAGGAAAAAGTTTTATTTAATCAATTTTA